GAATCTCTCACTGCAATGTGGGGCTTGCCATTAGGTTAGGTTGGCTGGCCAGTGAGTCCTTGGGATCCACCTGCCTCAGCCTCCCCAGTGCTGAAATTACAAGTGTCTATGCCACCATGCCTGGCTTTTATATGGGCTCTTGGGATCTAAACTCAGGTCCTCATGCCTATGTGGCAAGCACTTTTCCAACTGCAAAGAACATCCAAGGGGATATACTCAGCAGGTAGACAGAAATACATTTAAGGAGAGAATTCAGGACTAGAAATATGGAGATGGGAAGTATATGTATACAGTGTTGCTTGAAGAGGTGGGCATGAAAAGCAAGTAAGTAGTGTAAGTGGCCTGAGGACATAGGCTTAGCCTTGAGCCCTGAGGCTTCCTGGAGAGAGAACAAAATAAAGGAGACTATTTTAAAACCTTGCCTAATCACAGAGTAAGTGCTCTTTTTGGCTGCCCTGGAGTTTCTTTTTGGTTTCTGGAAAAAGGGCAGATAAACAGTCCACTCAGTGAATTTTCTCTTTATCTTTGATAAAGGACAAGCCAAAGATTATGTGATATTTCACACTGTCAACTTCATAAAAATGCTGAAGGTGGGAATAGGATGGTAGTGTTTTCAACAAGGCAAAACCTCAGATGCATCTCTGGTCCTATCATATTGGTGTTTATAACATTTTCTAGCTGAGGCTGGGCTTGTTTGGAGATGTGCGCCCTCTTTCACATGTAGCATGGGTCACTAGGGTTTAACAGTGCTGACTAGGGTTTTATTGAATTTGCGATCATTATCAATATTAGCCCCCCAAGGAAACACTTTTTGGTGTCACTGACAGATCATTGGGTTGCTTAGGGAAAAATATAAGTATTTCAGAAAAAGACCGGCAAGTGTTTGATATGCTTCCAAATCTCTTCAGGCTACTACAGATCATGGAGTTTTGGGAAATTTCCCAGTTAATATCAAGTTTTTATTAAAAAATTCCCCTAAATATTATTTACAACAAGAATATCTGGTGGTTACATGTTTTTTGGTTTTTTTCTAGATGTTTGATAGTACACAGTAAGGCAGCTTACGCCTTGCATAGGACAAGTCTTTAGAGCTCTTTACATACAGCAATTCCCTTAAAATTCAGAAACACAAAATGTAGAGATAATATATTATTTTGATTCTCTCTTAAATTTCTCTATAAACTCGGTATAGAGTAAGCTAAGCTGGAATACTGAAGTAACTATCAAATCTTCCTCTGTCTTGAAGATGTGAGAATCACATTTCAAACAGAAAATAATGACAGTGAACTTCTATGTGAAGTCACTGTGGCCCAATGTACTCAGCTAGATCAAAATGAGATGAAAGAAACAGGCCTATTCCTGAATCGCTGTTGAAGAGTCAAAGCAGATTGTTGTCTAAGTGCAAGAACACCTCTCTGTTGTTCAAGAAACTGAAGGGCCACACAAGGTCTTGGCTGAGGTTTGGCCCAGAGGAGACACAGCCTCTCTCATAGTCCATTGACTATAACTAGTCACAAGGCCCCAGTCAACTGTCAGGGGATTGAGATATATCATGTCTTGTGTGCCCAGGAAGGACAAAGAAGTCAATACTGGTCTGTACACCAATACCCACCATTAGATAATGGAGTAATATCACACAAGGCAGGGATGATAAACAAGGACAGCCTCTATGTGCCTTGGCAAGGGAAATAGTTGGTGAATATGAAAGTGATTAAGTCTTAACTCTGATAGTTTCTTTGATGGTACAACTAGTTTTGCTGAAATTCACTTATTTTTCCATGCAGATCCACAAGTACTAGAGAAAGAAGCATTTTCTAACCTATCCCATCAGGCATAGGTTAATTCAGTGGAAATCAGGGAGTGGATCCATCTGAATATTATGTGGGGTTAGAAGAATGAGTTTTCTTCACTCTGTACTTTTTGGCCTGATGCCAGATGCGGAAGTTTCTGCTGTGTGAAAACTCAGAGATGCAATATTCATCTGAATGGCCTGTGATTCATTCCAGACACACCAGATATCAAACTTTTAGAGCTAAGAATCTGATCCTAAGTCTATCCAAAGAGTGCAGGGGATAGATAGTGTTCTTGAGGTTTCCTTTGGCTATTTCTACACGCTCTGTAGCATCTTAGCTGGTTTACCTTCATTTCTTGGTGTTAGCCTTATCACGTTTACAACTAGGCATCATTCTCACCTATGTCTCACCTATCTCTCAGCATGACCATTTAAGCTTAAGAATGAGGTGGTGGCACATGCCTTTAATCCCAGCACTCGGGAGGCAGAGGCAGGCGGATCTCTGTGAGTTCAAGGCCAGCCTGGTCTACATAGTGAGTTCCAGGACAGCTGGGGCTACAGGGAGACCCTGCTTCAAAAAAGACCAAAAAAAAAAAAAAGAATGACAGCATTACTTCAGTAAGCTTATTTTGTTTTTCAACCATTCAGGATGAATATAGTTAATCATTTCAATAAAACATATTGTTCTCTCACCTTACTACCCTCAGATCCTTGCTACTTAAAAAAAAATCAGTCTCTTCTGCTCTGCCAGATGATAGGTGGTAGAAGCAGTGAGCTTGGGGGATATATGGTAGCATTGTAAGTATTAGATGGGGCTGGGGAGATGGCTAAGTGGTTAAGTGTGTGTAGTGCTCTTCCAGAGGATCCACGTTCTTGGCACCCACATTGAGTGATTCACAACTGCCTCTAACTCCAGCTCCAGGGGATCCCATGCTTCCTGCCTCTAAGGGCACTTGCACTCATGTGCACATGCCCCATATATTACATGCCCCATTATGTACATATACATATTTATATGTAATTAAAATAATAAAAATAAATCTTTAAAAAATAACTGCCAGGGGCTGGAGAGCTGGCTCAGCAGTTAAGACCACTGGTTGCTCTTTCAGAGGACTCAGGTTCAATCCTCCCACCTACATGGCAGCAAACAGCTGCCTCTAACACCAGTTCCAGGGGATCTGATGCCCTCTTCTGTCTTCCATGGGCACTGTACACACGTTGCACTTACAAACAGGCAACTCACCCCCCCGCCCCCGGCAAAGAGTCCAATGTGGTCCAAACACATTGTCATGTAATAACCTCCATAATGATGGGGTTGGAGGACAAGCTGAGAAAGATTCCTTAGGGAACTATTAGGCCAAGTTCAAATACTGCTTATAGAAACTTCTATACTATTATATTTCCATCATATTTATTGTCAACTTATCCTAATAATCTGCTTATACTTAATTTTAACCAATGCTTATTTTATAACTATGATAAACACACTTTCAAATTAATTTCTGATTTTTTCTCAATGTTAGGCTATTTCAGATTGCTCAGACTTGCATCTTTTCACCTATTGATTTTTTAACCTATGCTAATAATACTTAAATGCAAAAGTTCCTGATCAAGTATAGTTTTTATTGTTATTTTATGTGTATTAATAATATTGCCTGCATGCATATAAGTGCACCCATGTCATGCAATGCCATGGAGGTCAGAAGAGGCATCAAGTCTCCTGGAACTGGAATTACTGACAGTCATCAGTTGCCATGTGGGTGCTGGGATTAAAATCCTGGTCCTCTGCAAGAGCAATCAGTGCTCTTAACCACTGAGTTATCATCTCTCCAGCCTCCTTATTCAGTAGACTCTTGATTAGCTGAGAGAGAGAGAGAGAGAGAGAGAGAGAGAGAGAGAGAGAGACTGACTCAAAGCACAGAATTCTAGGATATCCTATTCATAATGTTCCCTTACATAGATGCAAAGTTCTTATAATATAAAATGGAATTTGGAGATGGAAGCACCTTTGAGGCCACCTGAGCTGATGTCCTTATCTTGTAAATGAGACAGGCCACTGTGATTTGGGACAAGACTGCTATTGACTATTTCTGGTGTTCTTCAGCAATGAAGAAATTATACGTTGGTCATTCTTGCCATTTGCAAATGATGATTTATAGTAAGTGCTTGTTCTGACCTCCCACAGTGACAGAAGGATGACATGGCACAAAACATGTGAGGGAATGGGGGAGTATTACAATGAATTCAACATTATTGAATAAATAATTATTTGGAAAAATGCAATGTGTCTATCATGGATTGAACAACAACAAAAAAAAAAACGGTAAAAATCAGTATATATGGATAAAGAATTTACAATACTGTTAGGGCCAGGAAAACTGTGAGACAAATATTGTTCCAAGAACAATGGACAAACTCACTAGATAAAAGTATAGACAGTTCTACGAAATTTCAGTATGACAGAGGATTGTGTGTCATTTCTTCTCCCCGGCTTTTCCCAGTGGCTTAATGGTACCACATAATGGAGGCTTTCTGTCTCTAGCTTCAGTTTAAAGACGTTGGTCCATGTGCACCCAACACAGAGTTCCAACAGCGAAGTCACAAGCTGATGACAGATGCCTGACATAAGAGCAAACTTACTAGGGCGCCAACAGTACTGATAGTAACACCAGTTTTATTCCAAATACTATTAGCAGAGGCCCTGCCAAAGCACAGCGCTCAACAGCCCAAGCATACTGCATCAGGGTGTGTGAGTCCAGTTCCTTTTTCCTGCTCCACCCCGAAATCCCACCAACACTGGGATGCCCTGAAAGGCAACCAATAAGGGTGTAGAACTGCACGTATTCGGTCCCTTCTCTTCTGTAAGGGGCCACACCCAGCAAAAAGCCCTCACGGAGTCCTGGAAAACAGTAGTGCCACAGTATTACCGTATTTCCCGGCTGACCCTCTATGGTACTTTGAGTGTCTCATGCTGGTTCCAAGATCCTGGGCCCAAAAGATCCTCCTGCCTCAGCCTCTCTAGTAGCCGGAACTCTATCCTAAAAACAACCTAGCCGGGGCCAGGGAGGAGGGGCGAGGATAAGAGCGAAGTCCAAGACCGTGGTCCCCACAGGTGAGAGCAGGCGCAGAGCTCCGATCCGGGGCGCGCAGGCGCCGGGGGGCGACGCATAGCCAGGCGCGGTGCGCCGCACCTGGAGGCGGAGCCAGACCCGCGCGGGTCCCGCCTACGCCCGCTCCCGCCGAAGCCCCCTCCCCTCCCTTGCCATCGCGCCGAACGCGCGCGCAGGTGCGTGAGGCCGCGCCCGCCAGGGACCCTGGAGACGGTAGCCAGCCATGGAGCACATCCGCACGCCCAAGGTTGGTCGCCTGGGCGGAGGAGGGAGAGGAGGAGGAGGGATGCTGAGCGCTTTGGAGGCCCCAGTGCCCTGCGGGGAGCTGGACCGCGAGCGAGCCAGGACAGGCGGCGCCCAGCATCTTCCGAGCTGCGAGGCCGGCTTTCCTGTGGCTGGCGCCCAGGCCTAGCTTTCCCCGCGGCTGGCTCTAACCTCTTGCCCTTGCGGGGTGCGCAGTGGACGTAGGCCTAGGCGGGAGGGAATGAGCCCCAGTTGTGTGCTGAGGAGCAGTGTGATGATGAACGTTTTTCTTTCTGGCCTGGCTCTAGGCTTTTAAATGTACATTTTTACCAGCAGTTGATGGTACCTTTGAGCAGTTGAAAAGGAAGCAAGCTTTTCAATGGTAGGTGGAAGGAAAGCGCTTTAGAAACAGGGCTTACATGCACTTAGAAGCTCGTTGAATCTAGGGCTTCAGACTCCCAAACACCGGTCCCGTTTCACTGGTAGGAGCTGCTAGGGGCCTTCCTCAGAGCCTGGGATCCATACTTGCCACCATGGCGTGCTCTGTTTTCAGTTTGCTTAGTTCTTCAGGGAGAAAGATTCGTCCACTGGTTATGTTTCAAACAACACCAGGTTTTGTCACTGAACAGAAATGACCGGTTCTTGATTATCCAGTTAAATAAGACTGGAGGCCTTGGCCATTGTACCAAATCTTTACACTGTGGTTATACTATAATTTAGAATGAAAATGATCGAAATTCCTGCCTAATTAAAAAAATCCCCGTGAAAGAATACTTTTAAAAATCGTGTTGGTTATGTCTTGCTACCACTACCCAGTTCCTTTTGGAATGAGCTTGTATTCAAAATCTAGGCCCCTGATAGTCTGTGTTTGAGTGGACAGAGCTCATGTGGCCCCAGGGATACTTTATGAGAAAGTAGGTGTAGTTACTTTGCTGTATACCCAGAAAGAAGAATTTATTCCTACATTCTGAAATGGTTGCTGAGTACCTCTGTAAAAACCTATTTAATATTATGTCAGCAGAAGAATCAATCTTCTAGTTCACTGGAGAATGTCAGTTCCAACGGTAAATTTAAATTGTATTGATGTTTCACTGTGGAATTAAATTGTTACTTCACAGTCAGGAAATTGTATAGTTAGAAGACAGTGCCATAAACCACAAGCAAGGTGGCTCAAAGCTTTTAGGGTTTAAATGGTACTAAATAATTTATTTCAGAATGATGAATTTAACTCATAAGTTCCCTCTGCCTTTGCCAAGGGCATCCTTTCTTCTTTCACAGTGGAAGGGGCCCTTTATAAAAATGGTGTGTTATGTGAATGTCAACAGCAGGGGTGATGGTATCATGGTACCAAATGTCATTATCTTATAGACTATGAACTTGGGGGGAGTAAAGGCCAGAGGAGGGCTTTGAATACCCTGGAACTGGAGTTATGAATGGTTGATAGCTGCCATGTGAGTGCTGGGAAATGAACTTGGGTCCTCCACAATAGCAGCCAGTGCTCTTAACTGCGGAGCCATCGCTCTGCCCTTTTTATGTATTCTTAAAACTGGCTTTCATCAGCATCTTCTAGTGTAGTTTGTCAAGTCAGAATTCCTCTGTTCAGAAATTGGTGATGAGGATGATGCATTCAATGAAGTGTCATTGGATTTCAGGGTCTAACATTTAGGAAAGTGCAGGTTCAAAAGCAAAACAAAAACTCTGAAATTATGTAGGTTGGGCAGATGAGATACATGTATCCATTCATTTCATCCCACAGTTTACAAATCATGTACCACGCTCTGTGTGAAATAGGTACTAAGTGCACTGCACATGCAGGAACTCATAGCCTGGAAGGGGCACCAGTGATAAACATGACATCGCACGACAGAGACATGTACAAGGTACATGTAACAAGGTACAGTGGATGCAAAGAAGAGAATTGACAGGGTGAATTGCCACATGGTCCTGTAGGCCTCTCCACCCACTTTTCTTCATACGCATTTCCATGGGAGGGTGAGGACAACCTTCTTAGCAGATCTTTGTTAACATGGAAGGAGTTGAAGATCAGGAGCATTTATGACAATAAGTGGTCATATAATTGTGCAAACATATAAATAATTGTAATTTCAAAGAACCTGAAAGCAATAATGATGCTAAAAGTGAACAAGTTTTTGAGAACAAGTAGTATCTTCCTTCTGTCTTAAATATTTAAGTTCAAAATTGATTTTCACTGTTTAGGTGACCATGGACTCCATGTGCCTAGGGATAGCTGTGAATGCAGCCCCACACAAAATCATGAACTTCAAACAAGACTTTTAATGTGATTTCTTAAAAAAAAATCTCAATTGCATAGTCCTTGACCATGAACTTTGTAGATGACAGTGCCGTGTAGTAACATCAAAAGGTTGAATATATTGGGGTGAGGAGGTGGCTCCGTGGGTAAGGAACTTGCTATGTAAATATGAGCATCTGAACTTGGTCTCTAGCATCCATGTAAAAGCTGGTTTTGGTGGTACATGCCTGTAACCCCAGTACTGGGTATCGGGGATACAGGTGGGGGTGGAGACAGCAGGATTCCCAGAGCTCACTAGTCTAGCCGAAACAGCGAACTTAAGGTTCAAGAGAGACCCTGATTCAAAAATAAGGTGGAGAGCCATAGGGTGATAGTGGAAGACACCAAATGTAATCCCCTGGCCTCGGAGGATGTATACCCCCCACACACACAGAAAAAGAAAAGGTTCTTGGATATGTCTGAATGAAAAGAACACAGCTAACTTCAAAGCATACATTGTAAAATATGTAGTTATTAGCAGTCACATTCATTCTTATTCTTTCTATGTTCTGAGGGAACTGAATAGGGGGATTTCCTTGATTTCATAGCCGTGTGCCTTGGGTTTGTATATACAATGTTTGCTTAACAGACCCTCGCTCCATTTGACACAGTAACTGGAGTTTATTTTAAGAGGAAAAGAAATGTGTGCATGTATCATGTACAGTTGCTTTCTTATTAACAGTTGGAGTCATTCATTTGCTCATAGCCCGTCCTCTACTTGTCTCTGGAGTACAGCTTAGGGAGACACATACACATCAATTATTTTGAATGCATTACACATATTTCTCTCTGTGTGTGTATATGCATGTGTGTCTGTGACCTTAACTAAAGCTTTTAATAAAGCATATGCTAAACAAGATGCATCTCTCCCAGAATGGCCCCTGTGGAGAAAAGAATCTTCCAAGCACAAGCTGCTTAGCCACTGGGTAGAAGTGAGGGCAGCCAGTGTTACCTGTACTCCTCACAGTGAACTTCATGCTTTCTACTTCACTGTTGTTCTTCTACCACTCAGAAAACTTGCCCAGGGGAAATTGTTCTGTTGAGCGCTTAGCAATAATTTGAGTTCAACTGTTTATATAAAAAGCCTTCCAAGCCCCTAGAAATAACTTGAAGTGTTGGTAGGATTTCATTTGGTTCTGGACTGAGCTTAAAGAGTGGGATCTGGCTATGTAATATCTTCTTTTTCTGAAAGACATTTTTCATTTGTGAATTTGAGTTATTAAATGGAATTTGTGATATCTCTAATATAGACCTTAAAATCTCTTTCCCTCCTTTCTACTCCTGCTCCTTAGACTGAGCCTGTGCTATGTCAGAGCCTGTGCTATAGTCTCCTAATTTTCTCTTTTATTCTTTCCTAACTAATGCTGTTAGGACAAGAATTGATCACATTACTCCTTGTATTCTGTTTCTCATGGCAGTGACCAACTACCTGACAAAAAGCAGCTTAAGGGGGGAGGGTTCGTGTTGGCTCACAGTTGGAGGGCTTATAGTCCATCATGCAGGGAAGGCATGGTGGTACTCAGTATTTACCCAGAAGCAGAGAAAGAGGGATGCCACTGCTCAGTTGTTTTTTCCCCTTTTTCCTTTTTCCTTAGTCTGGGATCCAAGTGCATGGTAGGTTTTCCCTCTTTGGTTCAAACACACTGGGAGCCCCCACCCCCACCCCACACCCACCTCACTATGGCTCACTAATGTCCTAGGTATTCTTTCTTAAGTCCAGTCAAGCCAACAAGTCAAACTCAGTCTTCTTAATCCTCTGCCAAAATTTCAGAGCGAATTCTCATTCTCTGTGAACCTCAGCTATAAAGTAGTAATCCCTAGAGAACTGTAGGGCTGAGTGCAGCTGACCATGTCCTATTTCCCTTTGTTTTGTGACCATCTTCCAACCAGGGCAGTAGATTTCTCAAGTATGACAAGTTCTTTTGTATCTCAGGGTTTGGACAACCATTCTTTTGTGGGGGGAGTGGCTCAGGAGACACTAATCCTCATCTACTTAAATTTTCATATTCATAGTTCCCATTAAATGTAATCTGTATAGCCGATTTACCAGTTTTCTCACTCACTTTGGTATTATTTGTCAGTTGATAAGCCCATCATCCTCTGTCACCCTTCCAGATAGTTCATCAGAGAAAGGAAATTCTCTCAAATGATGACTGAATGAATCCTGATGTTCCTGATGATTGATGGTTTCCTTTTTTAGGGTTATGCAGAGTTCTGTTAAGCAACCTATTTTAGAATCTTGCCTAGAATTAATGTCAAGCTGACCACTCTGTATCCTCCATTTGGGAATAATGATCTCATTTGCAAGTTCTTTCTCTGAGGGATAGACATTAAATCATGAGAAGATTTTCTCTCTGTCAGTTACCATCATTATACCTTTGGCATTGGGGCCATCTTTTATTTAGCAAGTAGATGATAAAAGTAACAGTGCATATAGAAACTAACCACAGTTAATGTGAATACATCTTCTGTCTTCTTTCATTTCATGCATCAAACTTTTTATTTTCTTGGAAATTTAGAATTATCCAGTCGGTTTAATAGTTCTTTTAGCTTACTGTATCATAGTATTTAAATATTACATACTCTTAAAAAATTTTTTTTCACTCTGTGGAATTAAAAAATGTAACAACCATTTCTCAATTTAAAGCCTTTTATAATACTGCTCCAGTGAATATCTCAGTAAGAATTATGTG